GGGCAGGTCACTTTGGGCACAGGGCTCATTTTATGCCCACTGCACCACTGACCCTGGTTTTCCTTGGTTCATAACTTCAGCTGAAAGAAAAGCTGGTGTTAAATGCTGCTGGTTTTTCCTGTGTTCACCCTGAAGTAGTTTGAGCTCAGCATCCAAACACAGCTTGGTTTAATGTGTAAAACCATGGGACTCTGGCACTGCCCAGGTTATGGACGAGCAAAGGCAGCGCAGGTGCAGTGTTAGAAGTGCTCCAGATGGCACACGAGGCTTTCTGGCTTGAATTCTAACCATTAATTGCCACTTTAAATCCAGCAATAAATTATTTGGGCAACCACAGTGCAGGATCCCACTGCCAGGAACAAACCGGAGCTGAGCACTACTCAGTCCCCTTTGTGCTTCAGGCCAGCACAGCTGGATGGGGCAGGGCACTCCTGCACTCACTCTGGTGTCTCACTGACCTTCTGGCCGTGGTTTAAGCCATCCATCGTCCTGCACACCCTGTTGTTGGTGTTGGAGGTGCCCTGCATGCATGTGTTGGCTTGTGTTTGCTCCCGGAGCGCGGGATGGTGTGCGGGATGCCTTGGGATAAGCCTCTGATCCTTTGCAAATTGGATTTTGTGGCTCACTTGCCTGTCCTCTTGGATGAAGGTTCCCCTTAGCTGCCTCTCCTCTAGCAGAGCTGATGTCCATCTCAGGACTGCAAAACCTTTTATAATGCTCTGCGGATCAGGAGTCACTCAGAGGGAACAGGGACAGACTTTCCATTTCCCATGGAACACGCTCTAGAGTGAGTCTGTTGCTTCATTCCCTTCTGAATTTCCACTCGGTCTGCACAAGATTCCCACTGGTTTGGTGCCTTTCCTGCTGGTTTTGCTCACTGTAGCACCGAGGTGTTCCTGGCTAGCAGCCCCCCAGTGATGATGGGTATTGCAGGAAGCCTCTGAGCCACATGGGTCGTAGTGATTGTGTGCTGGGGAGACAATGGACTGCTCAGGAAAGGTCTGCTTCTAATAGGTTTGAAACCGGTTCAATTGGAGATTGGAGGCTATTAAGTTTTACCCCTAAAGAAGACAGTGCAGGAAAAAGTACTATGTTGGCACAAGGGAGATTGCCAGGGCTTGTGATAAATGCTGTGTAATTCCTGGAAGGATGAAGTGTAAAGCACACCGGCACATGGGTGGTGGGTTGTGCTGGTGAGGGCCCTCATCAGGAAAGGTGAGCAGTTCCAGTTTACCTGTAAGAGCATACTGGTTTGAGTTCCATTGCCTGTTCTGGGAGAGGGTGGTGGCACTGGTGAGGGGCAGCAGACACCACACTCCTTTCACAGCAAGGTCAGGAGCAGCACCAGCCCCTCACTCACACTGTTCTGCACTGATGTGAACAGGACACCTTCCAGGGGTGGGGGGGAGAGTAATTCTAGGCAGGGTTAATTCTTAAATCCATGGTGCTTGACTTTTGAACAAGGGAGGGAAGTGAATGCTCTCAGAAGTGCTGGGAGACCACCTACTCTTTTGTACAGACTGCCAGCAGCTGACAGATGGAAGTGATTTTGGGACAGTGAGAAGTTAGTGTGGAATCACACTGCTGACCAAGAGCAGGCTCTGTATCCCACAGTCTTTGACTTACAGCCCCCACTTGTGACTCTTGCCATGGAGGGAAGAGTTTCCCAGAGCCACTGGAATTCTTCAGCGGGGTGTGAATTAGCAGTGCATCGATGGTTTGCGGTCTCTTGTGGTTCACTCTAATAGACACATGTTCCTCTGAAGATGCTTTTTGGCAAGCACAAGTATGGCTGAAGGATGTGTGGGAGTGGGAGCTCTGACTGGAAACCAGGAGGGTCTGGTAAAGCAGAGGAGTGAGTCCCTGTGCCGGTGTGTGCTGCGGCACTGACCCCTCAGCTCGACTCTGTGCTCCATGTGACTGCTCCTGACCACAGCTGCCCAGATACCCACTGTAGTGTGAGAGCTCTGCTGCCCCTGTCCTTGCCCTGTCCCTGTTTGCTGTTTGCCTAAGTGTCCCCTGTCTATTTTCTGTATTGCAGCATCTGGAGAGGGCCCAACGTGAACTGCGTTGACAGCACTGGATACACCCCACTGCACCACGCTGCTCTCAACGGCCACAAGTGAGTCCTGCTCCGATCTTTGCTCACAGGGGATGGATGTTTTGTGCTTTCCAGGCCACGGTTCTGTGTCGTTCATTCACTTGTCACTTCCATGGCGCTGGTGAGTGCTGGTGCTGCAGCACTACTCCATCTTCAGGGGAAATGGAGAATGTCACTGCTTTGGCTGCTGCACAGTGTGATCTTACAGCTTGAAATATTTGGCAAAACATTGAGGTTTTCAACCAACCGCCCTTTTATTTCAAAGCAATTTGGATAAGCTGTAACACCACGTGAAAGGGACTCCCTGTGACAGTCCCTGCAGTCTGTCTGGTGTCCAGGGTGGACTGGGCCTGCACCACTTAGAGTTGCCTTGTGTGCACATCACATTTGGAAGTAACTCCAGTCTTTACCATGGTGGATCTCGTGTTATTCATTGCTGCTGAAGGTACTGAGAAATGGAATAGAGTTAAAATCTTTATTCACCTTCACTGTGCTGATGCAATTCACTTTGCAGCAGAGGCTTGTGGCTGACTTCAGCCCCTGTTCAGCTCCATTAGCATGGAGGCAACGTGGATCTTTTCTGAGCTCGTCTCATCAATATTTATTTCTCTTTTTTTTTATTTCCTTGGGTGGCATTTAATAGGAACACTTTAAAATCATATTTCAGGAGGATCTCAAATATTCTGTTCAGACTCACTTTTCATGCAATACAGAATGTAAGCTGTGAAACAAGAACTGAGTGTCTTCGACTCAAGTTCCCTTCTCCCGCAGGGACGTTGTGGAAGTTCTGCTGAGGAACGACGCCCTCACCAATGTGGCAGACTGCAAGGGCTGCTACCCCCTGCACCTGGCAGCCTGGAAGGGAGACGCCGACATAGTGAAGCTCCTCATCCACCAAGGCCCTTCGCACACCAAAGTGAATGAGCAGGTCTGCCTGGTTTTCTCTGATGTACCATTGAATCACTGCCCTTGCATGGAGAGAGACTCCTTCAGCTGACTCCTGACCCTTCCCAAACCAGCAGCAATGGTTATAAGGTCCTGTTTGCTGGTGGGATAAGAGGGGCACTGCCTAAAGCAATACCTTCAGTTCTGAGTTAGTGGTAGGATGAGAAAGGTATTTAAGTTTTATAGACAGACACATAAATATGAGAACTTCTCAACACCTAGGAAGTGTTCTCCTGCTTCTGGGCTTCTAAAACTAACCCATAGTTTTCTTTTCAGTTGCTGGATAGCTGAGCAGGTTTCTAGTTCTGCAGAAGATCCATTGGCTCCCTCCTTTGGGAACTAATCAAGGCAACTTTGTTTAGTCTCTGTTTGGCCGTGCTCTCTTAGCTGCTCTCCTGGCTTGTCTCTGGCACTTGCTCCAGTTCACTAATTTGTAAGTTCTAAGACAATTTTAACCCTACTTGCCCCCAGATAAATCCTTAGCTTAATCTTAAAGAATTATTTTCTCAATCGGGCAAGAAAAAAAGCCTCTTGGATTTCTTCCATTTGTCAAGCTGATAGTTTTGGTCTGGGGTGCAGAGGGAATGAGGGGTATGAGACAGCTCTGTCCACTCCAGAGGACTGGCTCCCCTGTAACTGTCCCGTGCACATCAGAGGGACCTTACAGTTCCAGAGAACCTCTGGAATGCTACTGCTGGAAGACCCAAATACTTCTCTTGTTTCATGGTTTTGTTTAAGGGAACTCGTTTTCTGAGGCCAGCTGAGCAGGGTCACTGACCTTGTCACTGGGTGAGCCTGGCAAACAGTCACAGGCCTAAATCAGGTGCTTGAAGATGCAATGAGCCCTGGTTGTCCTGTCCCTAAGGCAGGAACATCTGATATCCCTGTGAATCAGCTCCCAACCCACTCAGGTGTGCATCAGGAGGAGAGGAGTAAACCAAAATAGGTTTGCCTGCCTTAGTAGCACAAGGCTAAACCTGACCATTCATTCCGAAGGTAATTCCCAGGTAGGTCAGGCACCCGTGGCTTGAGTTCAGCAAATTGTCACAGGCAGGGTGAGCAGCTGGGAACTGGGAGTCCCTGCTGCTTGTTTGCTCTATGTGTGCACTTTTTCAGAAGCTGAGGAGCAAACTCCCTTCATAGTCAGGTTTAAGAGTCCCAGTCCTGCTTCCAGCTGCACTTTATGGGGACCCAAGTGCCACACTGCAGCTTCCTAGGACAGGTAGCTCGATGCACCAGGCTGCCCCAGGCCTAAATGCTGCTAAAGCAGCAGGAATGAAAAATCTAATTTTCTACACTCCTCAGTCGGGCAGGAATAATGAGGAATGTGTGTTTTAATGTCTCTGGTGGTAGTTTTCCAGTTTGGGGCTGTGGTTAATCACGTCTCCAGGCACAGCTGCAGGCACTCGGTCTGGTTACAGAGGTTTGAGTTCAGGTAGCCTTTCACAATCAGTCTGATAAGAGTTGCCTGAGGGCCCTGAGTGTAAATGTTCTGCTCTGAGTAGGGCAGATAGAGAGGAGACCTTTGCAAAAGACCCAAAGCTTAGTGTGATCCTTCCAGGTAATGTTTCATTAATGTCTATTTAGTAGGAGCCTTGTTAAATGAGAGAAGTCAGCTGAGGAGCCTGTGCTGCCTGTACTTGGAGCCTTGTCCATGCACTGCACAGGGGTCCAGGTTACAGCAATCCCAGCTGGAATGGCTTTTGCTGGTCGTGGCTCTGACTGGAACAAGGTGCTGTGTTCTGGTGTTCCACCCCTTGGAGTCACCCATTGCTTTGTTGCTGTATCTCACCCATTTCATTATCACATTTTTTTCTTTTTCCTCTTCCTTTTTGTAGAATGCTCTTGAGATCAAAGAACTCAAAAAGTACGGCCCCTTTGACCCATATATCAATGCCAAGGTGTGTACTTTGCTGTCAGCATTTCACTGCATCATCACTCCAAGCTGCACTCCGTGATTCCAGGTGCAATAATACCTGTTCACTTTGCAGCTGCTTGGGGGAGAAGGAAAACGGGACCATTTATTTACTGTGGGTTTCTCTCTTCAAAGCAGTTATAGAAACATAATTAAAGGGAAGCTTTTCCTTACTTTCCTGGGGGCTCCTTCCTTGCTTAGCCTTGTAGGACTCGTGGTGATGGTCAGTTTGCTTGATTGGGCTGGATGACTTCCCAAAGGTAATGCTACTTCAATTAAATGTTTTAGGTTTTGTTTCATGTGCTGATGTTGCTGATAAATGCAAAGAGAAGGAATTTTTTTCCCTGCTTAACCATGGATGCATTTTCTCTGTGGGCTGTTTGGAGTGAATTTTTATGCCTTTTCTCCTACCAAATGCATAATGCTATGTGTGTTATTTGAATGGACAGTTAATTCCTGTGGTGGTGGTGGGGAGAAGGGAAGGCAGTGACATTCCTGCCTCCCTTCCCAAGTCCTCCATGTCCTGCTTATTGCGTCAGTCTCTCTATTTTGATGTTCAGTCTGTGGTGTTGTCTGACCCTTCAGCCCTGGTTTCCTGTTCCTGTTTTCTGGCCTGTTTTGCTCCTCTCTTGTTTTCAGTTGTTGAGCTACAAAAGGCACAGCATTGGCTTGTGTGATGTGCTGAGCCTGAGCTGTTGAGGAAACAGATCGAGTTCCTGGTGGTGTTTTCTCAGACACCCTTTTTCAGTTTTATTTCTAGTGAAGCTGCAAACCAGGGATGGCAAACACTCTGCTGCTCTGTCCTGAGACACCTCTGCCATGAGCCACTGTACCACAGCTGCTTCCAGTCACTTATTTTGGATCAAGCCATCCATGGCAGACTTCTGTCTCTCAAAGTTGGTTTTTTTTTTTCCTTCTGTTTGATTGCAGGACCTTAGAAACACACAGCCAGAGTCCCTGCACTTGCTGGGAGTTAGGTGTGGTTTTGCAGAGTCCTTTTTCAGGCAGTACCCAATGCCCACCCTCTGAACCCAAACATGTTCCCATAAAGCTTATCTGAATTGGGGATTTTTACAAAAATCCAGATGGAATTTTTCACCAACAAATGTCTTCTGTGGAAACATCATAGTTAAGCAGTTCAGTTGCCTGAAAGAAGCTTCCAGAAACATTGTCAATATAACCAAGTAAAATCTTACACTCTCCAGCACTGGGATGTTGAATGAAGAAGGAATGTGAAGGGGGAATATCCAGTGAGATCCCTTTCCTGTGGATTTTTGTTTACAAAGTATTCTAGTTTGGATTTTATACTGTGGAGAAGTGCATTATTTAAAGCCTTGGTTCAGTGTTCACAATGACTGAGGTGCTCTCTAGAGCAAGGCAAGATTTTGGCAACCTTTCCTTTGGTTTTAAGGAGAGAGATGATTTATACACAGTCGTTGGGTTCATCACAAGTTCTGACCAGCTTTGCACCAGTTCCTGCCCAGGTGAGGAGCGTGTGGAGTCATACCTGTCACACAGACCTTGGGGTTTTCTCAGTGCACTGGAGCAGCCAAACAACAGGTTGTCATTAGGGCAGGACTCAGCTGGACATGCAGACAGCAACAGAAATCCTACAAAGCAGTCTTAGAAGTAGGTTGGGTGGGACCAAAGGGTTGTGCAGCCACTTTCCCCAGCCCTGGGCAGGATCAGGTCTCCCTAAACCATTCCTGAGCAGTGTTTGCTCAGCAGCTTCTCAGAAAACTCAGAGAGGGGCAGCTCTGTGGACTCTGGCAGTTTATTTGACCCTTCAGATCTTTGCAGGTCAGAAAACTTTCCCTTATTTGACCAAGTCTCCCTTTGCTCAGTCAGAACTTCTCCCAGTGTGTTGGAAGCAGGGGATGCAGGATGGAGGGTGCAGGGCAGGGGTGCAGGATGGAGGTTGCAGGGCAGATGCATGGCCGGATGCACTTTAAGGGGCTCTGGATTCTCCATTTTAGCACGTGAGGAGGAGCAGCAGGGCTGTGTGTGGTGAGTGGTATCTCCTTACCAGGGCTTGGAAACTGTGGTGGAGCCCATATGGAAGCAAAGCCATTCCTGCTTGTGTCCCATTTGTGATCTGCAGAAGGGCATCGTGTGTGCCCAGCTCCTCTCCCCTGGCTGTGAGCTGGGGGATGTGAGGATTCCTGCAGGAATGCAGCCCCTGGGCCCTCCTGAGTGCTCTCTTTTTCTAAGTAGTTCTGAAATTTGAAGCCATGTGCCTTCTGGCTGCTGGAATGGAATTTTCCTTTTCCATCTCCGATAAATCTGTACGTCTGAGTGCTCCTGCTCACTGCTCAGGCTCCACTCTGGTTTGTGCCTGGAGAGTGATGTGAGAAGAGAGCAAACTCCCTTCCTAGAAGGGCTCTATTTTTGGCTGCTCAAAGCTCTCCCAAAATGGAGTCAATAAAGACTTGGGCAATAGCAGGAGTTTCCAGTGCACAGTCTGGGACAGGGAGAGACCTGCTGTAATGATCTCCACTGCAGGAGGAAAGTCTGGGGATTGCACCTGGAGCGTCAGAGCCCTGACCTGCTTAGGGAAAATTGGACTAAATTGCAGTGAAGATGAGGGAAGTCTCCAACAATTATGTTATTAAAGGATGTGTTCCCATTTATGAGCCCTCAGGCAGGTGTTTGGAGCTGCTGCATGCTTTAAAACCCCCCTGATGGATATGGTCCTTGTGCTGAGGAGGGAGGAGAGGGGGACAGTCCTAGCCAAGGCAATCCCCAGTAGCCAAGACAGGCCTGGCATGAGCAGCATGTGCCCCCCCACACACCCCCGGCTCTGGGGCAGGAACCCCATACTCAGAGGGGCTGAGGTCATCCACTCTTTCTGCTAAGCCTGGCAGCGAGACCCCCTCATGCAACAGGGCAGGCTGAGGGCCTGGGCCTGGCTGTCATGGGCTCCCTGATCCCTGCTCTTCCGACCCTGTGAAACGAGAATAATGGGATTTGCCAACCCTGTAAGTGCCCGAGAGCAGCAGTGTGAGCTGACGGACAAGTGTGAGCCCTGATGTTCTCTACTCTGTCCCCTCTCACTCCACTTGTATATTTTATGTGCAGACTTCTGTATCCTGCAGTGACCTCTGTCCACGTGTATGTGCCTCCCTCCAGGATACAGCCTGTTTGACTTGGACCTTCTGTGCCTGCAGCAGTGCTTTGCCCCCTTTGCCCCTTCCCCCCTGCATGTGGCTGGTGCTGCTCCTGCCTCCTTCGCTTTGCTTCCATACAAGCTGCAGCTGCCGGAGCCTCTCCCCAGCTCCTGCTTCCCTCATGCTTTGCCTGTGGCTGAGAAGTGATGCAAAAGCCAGATGTCAGTGAGTGAGGGGTTGCAGGACTCCTGTGAGCCTGAGAGTGACCAAACACCTCAACGGGACCCGAGTGCTCGTACAGCCGTGCGAGTTCGTGCCGTGGTGCCAGACACCGAGCCGTGTCCAGAGGCGTGTGTGTGCTCCCACAGCAGGAAGGCAGGGATCCGGTTCCCTTCTGAAATGGTCCTGCTGCCCTCCAGCACGACAAGCACATTCTGTTCATTTTAATGGGACTGTTCTTAAAATGACAAATTCAACCACCATTCTCTCAGCTGAAGCTGAAGTGTGTAACACTTTGTACTAAATTTTTTGGGTCAAATTGTCAGATAGTTGTTTCTGAAGTGCTTAAACCACAGTCCCTCTGTGGATAACACACAGTAGTAAAACTAGAAACTTGAGGAGAATTTAAGAAGAGGCTCTGGCTGGGTTCCTTTTTTGCACCTGCATGTGCAGTGTGTTGCACCGCTTGTCTTTGGGCTTTGCATTGCTGGTTCTTAGCCTGGCTGCTGCTGCACACACTGGTTGGGTCTGGCTTCCAGCCCGGAGGTGCTGCCCTGTGGCTGGGACATCACTTCCCTCAGCTGATCTGAGCCCTGGCTCGTTCCTGGGGTGATGGAATTGCACGGCTCTCTGGTTCACAAACTGCATGGAACTGGGTGCACCCTGTCTCTAAACAGCCGGAATTGCAGAGGTGGAATGACTGTTGTAATCAGGATAAGTAGAATTTGAAACAATTGAAGTTTAAATCTAAAACTATGACGATGAAGCTCCAGCAGATAGAATTCACACAGCAGGTTGCCTGTCATGTATTCAGCCTTTTATTTTTGTGGCACCCTGAAGTGTGGGATGCTGCCAACAGATACCAGACTGCTTTCCCCAGGTGAATTAATGGGAATTCAGATACAGCTCAACACTCCTTAAACTTTAGCATGGCCCCTGGATTCTGACCCCAGTGCTTGGAGAGGAGGCTGGTCCAACTGTAGCCCCTCTTTCCCACAGCTTTAGCCCATTGTTCTGGACGTTCCTGAAGCTGTGGCTGGGTGGGCAGGTTGATGAGCTCGTGAGGGGATGTCTGTGCTTGGTAAATGGCCAGATAGATGGTGAGACATTGCTCCAGGCTGATTCAGACTGGGCTCTCTGCTTCCCCACTGCTACTGTGTCTTGTTTTTGCATTTAAACTTCAATGTTGGAGCGAGGTGTGGAGCGGCCGCTCCCCCCGCCCTGACGTGCTGCTGTTTGTGACCCCCAGAACAACGACAACGAGACGGCGCTGCACTGCGCGGCCCAGCACGGCCACACCGAGGTGGTGAAGGTGCTGCTGGAGGAGCTCACCGACCCCACCATGCGCAACAACAAGTTTGAGACCCCCCTGGACCTGGCCGCGCTCTACGGGAGGCTGGAGGTTGTCAAGATGCTCTTGAACGCCCACCCAAACCTTTTAAGCTGCAACACTAAGAAACACACTCCCCTGCACTTGGCAGCCAGGAACGGTCACAAAGCCGTGGTCCACGTCCTCCTGGATGCTGGCATGGACAGCAACTACCAGGTATCTGGTGTGTCTGTCTGCGGGGCTGGGCCGATGGCTGGGGTCAGAGGTCGAGGGAGGGACGCTCCAGAGGGAGCGCTCGTGGAAGATGTGGAGAGCTTTGTGTTCTGCTGGGCTGTCTGTGCAGCTCTGGGTTGCTCGGGGGGGCTGCCCAGAGGGACTGGGGTGCTGTGCATGTCTCATGTCTGCTCAGGGGCCGGGCAGAGCCCCGGACACAGAGCAAGAGAGAGAAACGTCCTTTTGCTGAAGCTGTTCTGCCCCGCAGTGCTGGGAGCTCTTGATAGTGTTTGAGGCAAACGTGTCTCTTCCTATCAAGCCACTTGTGAATGTGCTGTTTTCACAGCAATGGCTTGTATGTGGGTCTTGTCTTTCCTTGTCAGGACACGACCTCTTGCCAAGCTGTAGAAGGGCCTCTGTTGGTCTCTCACCTGGGCCCACACATCTCTGACGGGACCATCCGCATTTTCCATCCCCCATCCTCAGCGCTGTAATAACACTGATGGTCCTGTCCTCAGCTGTAGGTAGTGCTGCCCACACTGTGTACAATGCCGTGTATTTATTGCTTCCGTAACCCTCTAAGCCATGCCTCCCTCACCATTCCCTGCTGTCTGGCTTCATGCTATGTTTCCATTTAATTTGCAGACTGAGAAAGGCAGTGCTTTGCACGAAGCTGCTTTGTTTGGCAAGACAGATGTGGTACAAATATTGCTGGCTGCAGGTGAGAGAATGTTTCCCCTTTGAAGCACTAATGTGGCGATCCCTCCACCCAGAGCTTGAGGAAATCCCGTTCTAGTGCAGCAGGTTTTTCCATCCAGCTGTCAGAGCTCTTTGGAGCAGGTTATAAGAGAGGTTGGCTCTCAGCGTTTGGCTTTAGATTTGCCTCTAGAGCGCTTTTTAGCTCCCCCCAGTGATGATCACAAATGTGACTTGATGAAAGACATGGACTAGTTAGACAGTATTCTTGCTTTTGCTCTTTCTACCCCATTGCCACAGGTATTGATGTGAACATAAAGGATAACAGAGGCCTGACCGCTCTGGACATTGTGAGGGAGCTTCCTTCCCAGAAAAGCCAGCACATAGCAGCTCTGATTGAAGGTGGGTGATGCAGCTCTGCCTGTAGGGAGGAGAGGAAAGCTCGGGGTGCTGATTGTGCCAGGACAGGTACAGGATGTGCCTCTCTAGACCTGGAAACTGCCGAAAGCAAAGCAGCTTCAGGCTGTGTTGGAAGGACTGATGCTCGAACGCTGGGGTGAACTTCTCCAGACCAAATGTTTGGAGGAGGACTTGGGGAGGACTTTTGCTGAAGGAGTGTGGCATGACTTTTACAGTGCAAATGGGCTTAATTGAGCTTTGTTCAGCTCACTTTAGAAGTTAATTGAAACTAAGGATATCCTAAATCTACTTGCAAAATGCAAAGTAATAGCTTTAGAAATGGTTTTGGTGTAACTCCCCTTTATGTGTCTGTGTAGGCAAATAGTCATCCACAGATTTCACATCCTGCTTCTCGCCTCGTTTCGAAGATTGGGCGTGGAGTTTGCAGATGAGATTTACAGAAAAGGCCTTGATTACTTGTGGCTTATAAAGGAGCTTGGCCCATTGTGTCTGTCCAAGTTCAGGAATGAAATGTGACATCTTGGCTAAATTCATACTTTGTAATTACACTGTCTGCATTTCCTCTCAGCTGTGGGGAGGATCAGAAGCATTTGGAGCTGGGGTGCGTTATTCATGCTGAGCATTTGGGAGCTTTGCAGGTTCAAAGCACTTTGCAGACTTTTAACTAAGCTTTGCCTGTGAGGCTGGTAGGTTTTAGGTCTGTTCTAAAGCTGAGGACAAAGATGGGCTTTAAAACTGAAGATCCTGCAGGTAAAGGCTCTCAGTTTGCCCTGGGAGAGAGCTGCTGTTGGACATTACTCACATCAGCTGATTGCTTCTGGCTTTACCTGTGGTTGGGGGGCTGCAGCTGTAATTGGTTTCTCTGTCTTATGACTGTTCAGCGATGGAGCTTGTGTCTACAACACCGATCTGCTCCGTGACGCTGTGTCCATACAGCAGCTTTGCAGCTTTCTGATTAAAGACTCTAAAAGTTCAAAGGCCCCTTGTGCCTGTGATTAAAGAGGCCGCCTGCTTCTATTTTGGGATCTGAGCTGCAAGGTTTAATAATGTGCTTTGGTTATTTTTTGGAAACTTAATAAGCTGACAGTTGGCCTTCCACCCGCGCGGGAGGAGGTGCCATGTGCTGAAGGGGACGGAAAACCAGACTGACGTGAGCTGACCCTGTGCCTCACCCATTCCAGATTACACCATTGGGAAGAAAAGTGCCAAAGCTGCAGAGAAGTCCTCTCCAGCCCCGCTCGCTCCCGCCGCCGATCCCACGGGCCGGACAGCTCAGGGTGGGCACCCCCAGCTCTCCTCTCCCTGCGAGTGCTGACGCCGAGGGCGGGAGCCCCGGTGATGAGCCTGTCTCTCTTCCTCCCCCAGGAGATGTGGACAAAGCCGTGACAGAGCTGATCATCAATTTTGACGTGAACCCCGAAGAGGAGAGCCCCTATGAAGCGCTGTACAACGCCACCTCCTGCCACTCCCTGGACAGCCTGGCCAGCGGGAGATCCTCCGACCGGGACTCGGGGAACAAGGAAGCTGAACCCAGCGGCCCCAAAGCGGCCGCAGTCAGGCCTGTACGTAGCTGTGTGTGCTCAGCCCTGCTCACCCCAGGGGCACAGGGGACCCACCTCCAGTGTCAGGTTTTGCAGCAGGCTGCCAATCCCTCAGCTTGAGGAAATCTTTAAACCTTTTCCTGACACTGATTAAAGCAGACAGGTGCCTCTCCTTCTTCCCTGGCCTGTTCACAGGGAATAACTGCACGTATTGCCTACAAGCAGCTGCATCTTTGTGTATTACTTGCACAGATCTGAAGAGAGTACTCCAGGCTTTACAAGGCAACACAAGGCTCCTGGAACTGTCCCCAGAGAAGTCTTCCTCACCTTCTGTCAGCTGCATCTGCTGCCCTGTTAGCAATCCACGGGAAGGCTGCTGTGGGGCAGATGGGACATGGGCCCTGCAGTGCTGGGTCAGCTTCAGGGTCTGTGTTCTGATTGGTTTTCCAAAGCCTGCTCCATGGAGGCATTTTTGGACAAGAGGCAGAGCAGCAATGAACACTTTAACTGCTGAGGGCACAGTAACCATGGTTTCCCTCTCTGCAAAGAGGTGCAGCCTTTGGCCTGTGCTGAGAGCAAATAGAGTAGAAATGGGACAAAAGCTTTAGCAGATGGACATTTCAGCCAGGTCTCACTCAGGTGAGCAGTACCAGATGCACTGTCCTGTTACTGACCAAATCTTGTCATTGTCTTGTACTAACAGTGTCTGGTGTGAAATAAGTTCAGCTCTGTTACAGATAAAGGAGAGGCTGAACTGCAGTGAGGAGGGAGCAGGAAAAGGGATGTGCTTCAGGAGCTCGCTGGAGTTTCTCCCCAAACTTGCTGTTGGAGCAGTGCAGCTCTGCTGCTTCCCTTTGCCATTAGATGGAGCTGTGGCTGAGCAGGAGTTGGCCTGGGAATATGCTCTGCATCGGACTGGGCAGCAGCTCCAGCTGCCCACTGGCAGTCCCTGGATATTGGAGGACTTTGGTGCAGCACTGTCTCTTCATCTCTAGTTTTCCACTATAAGAACTGCCTCTGGCATCACTTATTCCTGTTACTGTTTCACTAAGACACAAGGCATGAGTCTTCCTTTTCTCCCCATCAGCTCATTCCTGACTCCTTTGTGCAGTGCTGTGGAGAGTAGTCTGGGTGTGAAGTGAGACCTGTGTGAACAGGAAGAGCTCTGCCCACATCAGTGTCTGCAGGAGAGGTGGAGGAGAGGCAGCAGCCATTGCCCAGCTCTGTGCTGTCAGGGCTGAACTACTCCTCCATCCAGATTAGTGTGGGGAGGACCTTGCTGCATCCACAGCAGTGGGGACTTAGGGCTGGTGGGAGCAGAAGGGCCGAGCTGTACCAGCACAGCTGACAGTGCTTGTCTTACCCGCAGAGAGAACGTCCCCCACCGCCAGCCAAGCCCCCGCCCGACGAAGAGGAGGAGCAGCATGTGGAAAAGAAGATAGGTCACAGTGCTCCCTCTGAGGTATGTGGTGCTTGATCTGGGGTGTTTTATGGGAGAGTGGTTTAAAGACCAGTTTTAATAATTTGGGAGGAGCCAAGGACGCTGTTACCTCCTGTGCTAGTTGGGCTGTGAATGTGAAACATTCCCTCACTCAGCATTGCTGCTGTCCTTGCCATGGGAACTTCCTTTGTCCGGTTCTTCCAGGGCACCTCAGTGTTGACCTTCAGCCTTACTTTCCTATTCTTGGCTGAGAATTCCCTTAGGAAGAGGCTTTTCTGAATCACATTGTGATGTGGACCATTGCCACTTGTACAGATCCCACCACGTGCATCTTCACTTGGACCGAAATGCAGACACACCAAGAGTTCCTGCTTCCTCTGAGCTCCCAGCTGTGGAGGAGCTGCGTGGGCTTGTGGGTCCCACTGACATGAGCAGGGAGCAGGGGCTTGAATTCAGCTGAGGATCTGGCCGAGCACATCTGAAAGCTGCCTTCTGCATCTGAGCTGCTTTCTGATGGAACTCAAGCTCTCACATTCCCTATCGTTGCTCCTGGGCTTCTTGTTGCTCATCTCTATTCACCTGTCTGTGAACCTCAGATACGAGGGCTCTCCAGGAAACACGGCTGTGGGAAACCACAAATGTGTCTTGGCAACTTCTGCTGACACCCAGGAAAACCTTCAAAGCAAGCCCAAATCTGTGGATTTTCGCGCTTTCCCAAGGGCAGTGGGTTGTGTGTGAAACCCATGGAGTGTGTGCCACCTCTGCTGTCAGAGCAGGCTCTGGTTCAACACGTGCCTTCTTTGAATGTGCTGATCTGCTGGAGTTCTGCGAAGCATAAATGGGATCTGTTGTCTGGAGTGTGTCAAATCCACACGAGACACGAGTGAACATGGTCTGCTGTGATACAACTGACTTCAGAGAGAGCAGAGCTCCGAGCTGTGCATAAACAGGGGGCTGTGACATTGTGGACTGATCCCTGCACTGCTGTTCGAATGCAGGGTGTGATAACTGGTCCTGTGCCTGGCTCTGGCAGAGGAGAGCTGGGCAGCAGGTCATGGCATAATTGGGAAGCAGAACTTGTTTATGACAAGAAACACGAGGGAGGCAAACGTGCCCTGACCGCTCCTGCTAGAGGTATCTTGCCATGTTTAATTATCAAACACCTGCTGTGTTGTCCTGCCATTAGTGGCTCTGGAAGCATGATCCATTAAAGGGAATCTTGCTGGCAAATGGCAGTGACTCACTGGGGAGATCTTGATTTGTGACCAACTTCGGCGCTAGAACTTACGGGCAGTGTATGGCTGCCTGGAAACGACCTTCTGGATGTACTGATGAGGTAGTTTGGGGCTGATCCTTTTCCTTTGATTGCTTCTCCTGGCCTGCTCTGCTTTTCTCTGCTTTCTTGCCTATCTTTTATCACCTCAGGGCATGTTCTCTCTGAGTCAGGCAGGCATGAACAGGAATATGCTTTGGAGTGCTGTAAACATCTCGCTGCAGCATCCCAATGTGCCATCCTCCAGCCCTGCTCTCCTGTTGGAGCCAGGACAGTTACTCATTGAATATTCTGGAGTTGGGCCAAACTCTAGTTTCCAAAGTAGTCTTTTTATTCCTTGCCAAGCTGGAGCTATCAGTTAAAACAGATGAGTGTAAACAAACTTTTCACTTTCATCATGGAAAAATGTTGGTACAAACAGGCAAAGGAGCTGATTGTGTGGAGGTGCTTGAGTGGTGCCTTTCACTATCTCCAGAAACCTTCTGGGTTTGGAGTTGAGTAAGAGCCTACATTGTCAAATTAAACTTGGGTTCCAGCTGTTTACTGCTCGTCTCCGGAAGGGAAGTGCAGATCAAGGACAAGGCGCCACGGTGGTTCCAGCAGTTTGGTCTGCAGCTCTGGGAGGGAGGAGAGAGGAAGAGATGAGTTACCCTTTAGAAAGTCTTTCAAAGTCCTCTGCTGTGGATTAAGTACATCTTAAAGAGTATCCTCATTATTCACCCACAGCATCTTATTTTTGGGCTTTGCTAGAAGTGAACATTTGTATGTGCAAACAACATGTCTGAGGAACTGGAAGCTGAATTGGAAGAAAGCTTTATTTGGTTTTGTTGCTCCTGGTCACAGAGCCCACAGAGCAAGCACAGTTCTCCAGCAACGGTCTTCATTTTGAGTGAATTTGAGCCTGAAACTCTATTTAAGGCTTGGAAGGATGAGAGGTGGAGAAAATCAAGTGTAACCAGGCCCATGGATACCAGCACAAAAGTTCACAAAGCAGAAGCTGGGAACTATGTGCTGCTGGGGAGCTCCTGCCTTCAGTGCATTTAAAGAGGACAGCACAGGAATCATCATCCACTGGAGTGTCAGGAGAGCACTAGAGCCTGGCAGAAGGTCCAGGCTGCTGCTGTGCTGACAGGCTGCTGCTGGGAAGGATTTTTCCAAGATCACGGGTGAGAACCTGTTACCTGCTGTTCTGGTTGATGGTTTTGTGCCACCATCTGGTCAGAATTTTTTCCCTAATTTGCTCATTACAAGCTCCTTCACCTGGAAGGGAGCAGGTCTGCCTGGCAGCTCCTGCTCAGAGCAGGTACAATAAATACTTCCCGTGCCGGACAGAGCTCATTTCCTCCTATTGAGAAAGTTGCTTTAAAAGCCAGCTGGGCTCGTGCAGAACAGCACATGGATGTTGGAATCCTGTCTGTGCTGCTGACTCCTGGGTGTCTCTCCAAGACTCCCTAAGCTTCCAGAGCTCCTGGCTGGGTTGAGGTCAGGTAGGTACCGATTTGCCCCTGGAGCAGCTCTGGTGCTTTCACTTTGGGGCAGAGGAGGAGGTGGTGTGTGGTCTGCTGGTGAGGCAGTGGGAGGTCCAGGAGTCTGAGCAGTAGGAGCCCTCTCTGGGGGCGTGTTTTGTTCAGACCTGTTTTTCCCTGTCCTGGCAGCAGGTAGAGATCATTTGCTTTCTGGCTTTGGGTTGGCTGTAGTCACACATGGGATCACAAAATGGTTTGGGTTGGAAGGGACCTTAAAGACCATACAGTTCCAACCCCTTGCCATGGGCAGGGACACCTTCCACTAGACCAGGTTGCTCTAAGCCTCATCCAACCTGGCCTTGAACACCTCCAGGGATGGGGCAGCCACAACTTCCTATCACCCCATGCCCCTCCCCAGCTCTCTTGGAGTCCCTTTAGACCCTGTTGCCAGGGCTCATTACCAGGTCGTGTTGAGCTCCTGGGGCAGGGTTGCATCAGTCTGCCAGGATCTGGCCAGGAGATGGTGCTGAAAGGCAGCCGACTGTGCTGGCAGGGTGCCCTGAAGGCCAGTTTAGCCCCATCAGCACTGGGATGGCACCCAGGGACATCCAGGGCCTGTCATCCTTGGCATTGGTGTAGGCCAACATATGAGTCTGCAGCAAGACTTGTCTGGATCCTGTGCCAAAACCTCGTCCCTGCACATGGATGGTAGCTTTCCAGAGCAGCTCGGGGAGGGTCTGCCAGGGTTCCAAACCAGCTCTAACTAGAGGCTTTGGGGGATTTAAATAAGTACAGTCACTGCTGCACATCCTGGAGTTAAACTGAATTCATACAGTGCTGCCTGATGCCGTCCATCCTGAGGTCAGAAATGCTGGACCTGAGAAGGTAGCAGGTATTTGGGCTTTTGTTCTTTTCAGCCCTGTCCTAATAGGGCCAGCAGCTAAATAGTGAATGACAATGCAAATTCCAATAGCAACAGCCAGTCTGAGTTGGGATGAACAGGAATAACGGTCTCAGCTCTTTTCCCCCTCCAGGCTGTCTGCAGCTCTTGCATAGTGAGTCAGTTGGTCAGTGCTGGAAAGTTATCAGCATCCCGAGATACTAAAAATCAAAGGGGGTTTGGGTGGGTGTTCGTTGAGGGGGTTAAAAAAAAAAGGGGAGGAGTATTAGATTTTGGCTCACACTCTGCAGCAAAGGTGTTCCCTCTGCTAATTCCTTGCTTAACCCATGGCATAGAGGCCGTGGGCTTTATGCCAGGACAAAGCATTGCTTTGCAGAGCTCCACATTGTGCTGTTCTTCATTAGGCCTCTGCTGCCTGGGGGAAGAGCAGGGGAAGTGGAGCTGAGGAAGAGGAACACCCGTACGAGCTGTTGCTTACAGCAGAAACTAAGAAACCGGTTGCAGTGGACAGGAAAACAAAAGGTGAGTGACCATCCAAAGAACAGAGCACTTCAAGCACTTTCGTGCACTTCAGGAAAATACAGAGGGCAGAGGGCAACTGGAACAATGAAAGTCTCTGCTGGGTGGGGGCTGGAGGGTGATTGTTGTGTTTCCTGGTAATCCTCCCTCTGGTACAGGAGAGCTCCGAGCGTTCCTGTACAGAGTGTACGAGGAGGAAGGGCAGCTGTGCTGTGGGATAGCTGAGAGATTCTGAGGACCTGCTCTGTGAACTCAGAAATACTCAAATCTTGTGCTCAGCTAAGCAAATGCAGAGGGTGGGAGGCTGTTCCAGGGGAGATGAGCAACGCGAGCGTTCCAGTGAGCCGTGTTCTGCATCCGGCTGGCGCTGCAGGTCTCTGCTATCCTGCTGTAAAATCAACATCCTGCTCTGTGTTAAAGCTAATTTGAGATGGAAACTAAGAGAGGAGGAAAACAAAAGTGTGTAGAGCAAGAACTAGAACTGGCACAGATCCGTGGGGTAGCCAGGTATATATTGAACCAGTCTCTCCTCCCCCAGAGGGAATGCTGTGCTTTACGAAGGATCTGAGAACACCTTGTCTCTTGTGTTTAGCTGTTGTTGGCTTTTTGGCTTTCTTGCAACAATAACAAAAAAGATTTGTTTAGAGAGAAAAGATTTCCAGCTTTATTCAAAAGTCTTGAGCAGGAATTTGGAAGGATTTAATTTGGACTCTCACACTGGAACCCTTCTCATTCTGAGGATGGACAAGGGATGCCTCACTGAGTGCCCTGTCAGACCTGCAGATGTTTTCCCTCCTTGCAGCACGTTAACTCTCGTTGCTCAAGTCCTGCTGCTCTCCTTACTGGCCCAGGGTGACACAAGAGGTCATTGTGTTCCCACCAGCACTTGCCAAAGTCCCCTCGCTGCCAGAGGCAAAGTCTGGGAGCTTTTCAGGTTGATGCTTTGCTGTCTGGGCCAGGAACAGACCCTGAGTGACAGCCACTGAGCCAGAGCTTTCAGGCTCTCGTCAGCGGGCAGCTATTGCTGGTTATTCAAGCACGAGCTGTTCCAACTGCTCCACTCCTTTCTCTGGCTGCTGTGTCCAGTCTTGATTAGTGTGAGAGGAGGTGTGTCCTAATTATGTGTCAGATTAAAGTGAAACCTCAGAGTAATGGAGCTGTGTGTTCTTGATGCAAAACTCTTAGCCTGAACACCTGAAGACATCATGAGAGGTTGCAGGAAGATCTTTAGCCTTGTACAGATCCAGAGCAGAGTCCTGTCTTTTAATCTACATCTGGAAAGATAAAAGCTGTGACTTCAGGGTTTGCACTCCATGGAAAGTGTTGCTGTGTTTGTAACAAGTGTAAAGCCCTTCCCACTGTTGTAGTGGGAGAAATCCAAGGATGCAGTTGAGTTTTCTCATCTTCCAGGGCTTGCCTGCTCTTTAAATGCAGTCAGTGGCTGATGGAGGGGAGAAGATGCATTTAGGGAGTAGCAGAGTCATTTTGGCAAAAAGTTAAACAAGGGCTGAGAGAGGAGGGACTGAAGCCTTCATTGGGGTGTTGGAGAATTTTTCCACCTCTGGGTCAGAAGGGTCCTGGAGCATCAAAGGCAGCAGCTCCATCCCAAGACATGGAACAGGCTAAAGATGGCTTTGAACTGCTTCTTGGCCCTTGATCTGAGGGTCTGGGCTTCTGAATGAGTTCTGGAGCAGTCTTTGGTCAGGAGATGAGGAGTTGGGTTCCTGTGGCTGTTGGAAGGGCGTTTCGGGGCAGCGGAAACGCTGAATTTCAGGCACGTGGGTTTAATGGTGCCTTTCATCTGTGATAGCTGCCTTTGTTCCTCTGGCTGCCAGTTGTCCTGTGTCCAGCGAGCAGATGAATGTGGCATTATCCACTGGCTTTGGTGGCCTTTGTGTGTGTTAGAGCAGCTTGCTGTCACATGCTGGAGCACTGGGAGAAGTTGGTCTCATGTTTTGGGCAGAGTATCAGAAGTGGTTTAAGCCAAATACTCTCCCTTCCCCTTTGGTGTGCAGTCACACGTGTGAAGTCAGGGCACTCAGACCTTGTAACAGGGCATGAAAATAAGTCAAGAGTGGGGGACTGTAAGTAGAGTGACCAGGAGGAGACCTCTTAATTCCTGCTGCCTCGAAAGAGATGTGATGGAAGGTGAACGTGGAAAAGATCTTTGAGTTCTCATGTGTCTGGCTTCTCAGGAATCACCCCCAGGTGCTGTCAGCAGTGACCAGCTGCAGGTAGGACTGACTTGGTGCCTTCTGATAGTTATTACAGACTGATGCTTGTTGATTGTTCTGTGCTGCTTCCATAGGACAGTGTCTCATTACTTTTTCTGAAGAGGGGAGAGAGTGCACAAGAGCACCAGTTCGGGTGGATAAACTCTGTCTGGAGTGACTGAGCTTGGTGAGACTAACACAGGAGTGTGCCATCCTCAGCTGTGTTCCACAGGCACTACTGGCTGTGGAATGAGCCCGTGGTTCACTTCTACTGCAGGTGAGGGTCATTTTTGCCAGCTTCCTCCTCGGGCCTTCTGTGCCATGGGAAAGAGATTTGCCTGCTCCTCACTTGACAAATTCTGGCCTGATGTAGCATGGAAAGTCTTTTCCATATGCAAGTCAGAGGCTGCTGCACGCCCTTTCTAGTTTTAAGGTTGGGGAGCTTGAGCAAACAGCAGCTGCAGTAACAGCTTCATTCTCCTAATCCAGGGGCATGAGACAAATCCTGCTATTGATATATATAGGGAAAGAAATCCAGTCGAGGCGGGGTGGTTGCAGCTTAGTGTGGAGTGTTTAGGGAAGTGCTTCGTATCTGGAGTCCTCAGGCTGCTGGCAGGGAAGCTCTTAATTAAATCCTCCCAGGGAAGCAGACAGTCTGTACCCAGGAATAGGCTCGTGATCCCAGGGAGGGTTGGAAGCAGCCTCTCCTGTGGGTGAGACCTGCAGCAGGCTGTGGCCAAAGAAGTCGGGATCAGTCAGATGATCTGTGCTGGGTTGTAAAATCAGCAAAGAGAGTTGGGCAGAAGTCCCTGTAGTAGTTAAAAGGTGTAACTGGAGGAGGATGACCCTTCCAGATCCCTTAAAAGGTGAGGCCTGGAGAGCCCTCAGTGTTCCTGCTGTGTGCATCTCAGTGATAAACGGGAGTGAGATGACTCTTTTCTTTCTACATTAGTTCTTATGTCTGCAGCTTTCAGGACAGACTCTGAAATGTGTCCTGCAAGATGTTCCTCACATCTTCTGAGCAAGTGCTGTTGCCCTCACTCCATCCGTTCGTTCCCTGGCAGCTGCCCTGTGTTTTGGAGTCCCTCCTCAGCTTGCAGATGAGTGGGTGGCTGTGATTGCTGTCCAACAGGAGCCCTTTGTGAGGCACTGGAGCTGGATTTGGAGCATTTTGTTCTGGCTGGACTCAAGTGTTCCAGCACGTGGCACAAACTTTTGCCAGCCCCCTCTCTGCCTTCTGCTGAAATGTCAGCAAAGGTTAAACTGGGGCATGGAAGAAATAGTTTCTAAGGAAGGGAAGAGATTTGGAAGAAAGACTGCAAAAGCTTTCTCCTCCCCACAGGTTTAGGTGAGTGTCCCTTCGCTGCTGTCCTGCTCACCAGTCGGTGGCTTTGCATTAGTACCACTCTGGCCAATGACTGAAGCACATCTGATCTCCTCTGAGGTTTCTCCTCTTGAGGTTTCTCTCCAGCATTGCAGCATCAGAGCTTCATGCAAAGTAACTGAGTCCAGTCTGGCCTTGTTATCTGGGGTGCTGCTGCTGACCCCCCCTCCAGCCAGTGCCAGGACCTGCCTCTCCCTTGGCGGCTCCAGTCACAGAACTGGTGCTTTAATGTGCCCGTGCGAGAGAGTCAACAACTACTTCACTGTCCTGGAATCTCTAACTCACAGGATCCAGGATGAGATAATCCCTCACATCACTAGATCCCAGGGAGCAGTGAGGGCTGTGGTGCTGCCCTGGCCGGGCTCTGACTGCTCCGGCCCTCCCGCGCCTGTGCGAGGGACATCGGGCACAGGGTGCCTGGGACCCCCACACGAAGGCAAAGGACTAATTCAGCCCTTTCCTGCCCATTTCTGGTGTGAGGGCAGACCACAAAACCCGATGGGTGTTGGTGTTTGAAAATCCCCTGCTCAGGCTTGGTGCTGGAAAGGTGCTGGGGGAAGGAGTTGGGCTCGCTGCTGCTGCTGCTGACAGGCTGCTTTTATTTAAAGTAGAATTCATTATTTTGCTCACAGAAAGGAGAGTTCCTTTGCCTTGGCTTCCCGGAGCTGCTGTCTGCAAGGCAAACAATTTCCTCTTCACATCCAAACATCCTCCTTGTGTTTCAGAGCCTCATTATTGGGGTGCTTTGCTTATTGTTCCTTTCCAGCATGGATTTTTGGTCCTCAGACTGAAGAGGTTCTTCAGCACTAAATGGAAGTGGTTAAAATTTGCAAGCAATGCTGGGAGGGCAAAGAAATCCTGGGAAACCAAAGTTAGACTTGTTGACTTGACAAAGTTTTGCTTTTGCAGTTGAAACACTTGCTCAGCTGTGACAGGTGAGTACACGTGTGTGTGCACACGGTTGGCACTGGGTATCAGTCAATTATTCATGGTTTATGCAGGACCCTGGTACCTGATATTAAGGCTGCTGGGGCAGGAGTACCATGGAACCAGTGTCACATTTCTGGGGCAGCTGGTGCTCTGCCAGCTCGGACCATTCTGTGCTCAGTGGTTCATTGCAAGAGAGACCTTTCGCTCAAGTTTTTTTTATTGCATAAACTGTTTATTTCTCTCCCCTGAGCAGGGAGGAGAGGTTAAACTCAGAAACCACTAGGGAGGAAGGCAGTGGGTTTTTTTGGGAGTGGATTTTGGAACTCGCAGGTCAATTACAGTCCAGGCACTTTCCCACCCTGCAGCCCGTGCCAAGAGCGCAGCTCCAAATAACGCTTTGGCCTTTATGGAGACGGATCAGATGTTCCAGGAGCCTCCGTCCCTGCTGCTCCCACCTCACTTGCTCTCTCTACAGGATATAGTTAGCACTTCTCTTGGCCTTATATAGCAAGGCCTGATAGTTAGTGTTAACAGGAATAAAACAACACGGAGAGCTGCCAGATTGCGTAAATCGGGCCAGTGTTTGGAATTTCATAAATGCCATGACTTTGGGTACAGGCTGAGCACGCGGAACAATACGGAACTGTTCTCTCTTTATCTCTCCCTCCCTCGCTGAGGGAGGGCAGGGAAAGAGCTGGAATTTTGCTGCTTCTTCCATGTTTTTAATTTCCCCCTCCTCTCCGTTTCCATTCCCTCGAAGACCACAGGAGGAGCAGCGGTGGCTGCAGCCAGGACCCTGCTGACAGCCAGGACATCCAGGTGCCAGAGCAGTTTTCAGGGTTGCTTCACGGTTCTTCTCCGATCTGTGAGATAAGTGAGGACCCTTTCAGGCTCGTTTCCTCTGCAGAGAAGGGGGGCACAGAAGCTACAAGCCAGCCTGCTGGTATGCAGGTGGAGGATGCTGACTTACCTGGCTCAGGATCGGTGCGGAGCAGCTCTCCCGACCGGGACCAGGCGGTGGTTTACGCCACGGTGCAGCACACGCACGTCAGCCGGGCGGATCCCACGGCCGTAGTCACGCCCCACGTGCCGCAGCACCCTGGCGGTGCTGAGGAAGAGGGGGACAGAGCTGTGGGCAGGGCCCACCCGGGCAGCAAGCCCAAAGCCGAGCTCAAACTCAGCCGCAGCTTGTCGAAGTCGGACTCTGACCTGCTGACCTGCTCCCCGACAGAGGACGATGCCATGGGGAGCCGCAGTGAATCGCTCTCCAACTGCAGCACTGGGAAGAAGCGGCTGGAGAAGTCCCCATCCTTTGCTTCGGAGTGGGATGAGGTAAGGCTGAGCTTGCTTAAGAGCCTCTGTGCCTCCTCTCTGCCACACTGCCCTGGGGGGGTCCCGGGTGGGTTCTGTTGCTTTCACTAACTCTCACATGGCATTAATAGACACATGCTCAGTTGGGAGTCTGTAAGGTGTTAAGTGCCAAAAGGTAGAGTTCATTGGAGTGGGGGAGAAACAGAATTGCAAGAACTGAGGGGCTTTTCAAACTGTCAAAAGTTTTTTGCTCAAATGCGGGGCTTGATTTCTTTGAAGCAAGACGTTCCCAAAATGAGGGAGACTTTGTAACAGTGCCCCTTACCAACCTTTATCCTGACCTCCTCCTTCCAGTTCTTCCCTGTGGACTCTCCCAGCATCTGGAGATGTTGTGTTGCTGGGTCTCTGCTGCTGGGGGGTGAGAAGTGTCCGGGGTTCATGGAGATGGAAGGAAGAGAGTACTTAGGTTGGTTTGTGTATTGAGTAGCTCCGGCTTTCCTCCTCACACGCTCATTTCAGTGGCTGTTTAGCAGTCACTTTATTATCATATCGGACGCCCGCGGATAGTTAAATATTTCATGCTCCAAAAGTTGGCCCTGGAGAGCCACTGGGGTGAGATTAAGTGTCCCTCTGAAATTCAGCACCGCAGCATTACTGATACATTCTTTGGGGATGATTCTGTGCTGGGAGAGCAGTGGCTGCAGAAGTGATAAGCCGGGATGAACTACTCTTTGTACTCTGAAAGGAACTAAACCCCCCTGGCGTGGTGCTGGGGGTGTGGAACCGCGTGTGCTGAGCGTGGAAACCTGTGGGAGGGTTGTGCCCCTGCTCCCCTCTCTGCACGAGCTGTTGCTCAGCTGCCTCTCCAACCCTGACTTGGAGAGATCACCTTCTGTGGGAGGTGATCTCTGAATACCCCCCTGTATTCAGAGATGCTAAAAGCAATGTGGGAATTTGTCCTCAGTATGAGCCCATCCCTCAGTCCATTCTCTCCCTCCCCCTCACTCCCTGCTGGGTCTCAGGGTTGCCAAAAAGATGTTTTCCTCTGCAGCTGCTTGGGCTGGAGAGGCTTCACTGTTAATTGCCCGGGTCAGTTGTACCACAGCGTAGGGAAAGAGTGCAGCAGAAGGTTTTGGAAGGACTGGATAATTCCCCGTGCTTTTATCTGAGCTGTTTGCAGCAGACACTGAAAGGGCAGAAGCCTCTGACTCGGCAGTGCTGCACAACTGCAGTGGTAGCAGAGGTCAAGTGTTGGGCTGCCTGCCCCTGCCTCTGCTTCCTCTGCTCAGATGAACCCTCGGAGCTGCTTCCTCCTGATTGTAAACAACCCCCTCATTTCCGAGGCAGCCAGACAAAATCTACTTTTGCTTCCCCTTATGTTTAGGTGAGGAAATCAGAGAAAGAATGTGAAAAATTCACATCTGTCTGCAATGGGGCAGGTCTCACTTAGAAAAAAAAAGTACTATTAAAACCTGATGGATTTGTCTTCCTGATTTCTGGCATAATGGAAACATTTTGTGGAATTGTTGTAGTCTGGCAGCAGCATCCTATGGCCTGGTTTGCCAGGGGGATTCTTGGAGCAGCACCTGTGGGAATGGCTGGGGGTTTGCAGGATTTGTATGTGCAGAAAGGGGTTGGTCTAGCTGGTCATAATGGAAACAGTGAGATTTAAACATAAATGCAGTGTTGTCATTGGGAGTTGAATTAGTTTCCTGGATGGGATAATGCAGCTGGTCAGAATTGGATGCAACTTGCAACCTCTGAATTTACCAGGCCAACGTAAACCCTTTTGAGCCACCCTTGTTAGGGATGGTTTAGCTTTTCCTCTGTGTTTAGGGGAAACAATGGCATATTTATATTTATATTATTCTCTTAATCTTAATAGTCTTTATGCAGGCAACTAAGGAGGGAAGTGATCTCTGTGCAGTTCCCAGCTGTAGCCAGCAAGCCAAGGGCTCTGCCTGCCGGCCTGGCCAGCAGTAGGTGTGCAGGGAGGGATCTGTGGTGTCCCTGGCAGATGGCACTGCCCTGGGCCGTGGTGCCTGTGCTCAGCCACTCTGGCGGGGACAGCAGAAAATCTGCTGCTTGGAGGCGAAGGGTCACATCCCTGCCCTGGCTGAGCACTGCCAATGCCCTTTGTTGGAAGTGGAAGGTGGTGCTGGCTTTGCCAAAAGGGTGGGATGGGGAAGGAGTGATTCACTTGGCAAAGCTCATTCCTGTTCCCAGTTGCAGCTCCCCTACTCCAAGGACTGGCCTGGAGTGTTACTGTGTGCTGCCCAGGAGCCAGCTCAGCCGTGTCCTGTCACCTCCTGTCCCTGCTCCTTCCTGGGAGTCCCTGTGGTGGGAGCTCTGTGCGAGCCAGGCACTGAAACTCTCATCACACAGCCATGCCTTTCCCAGGAGAAGGTGAGGACCGAAAATGCTCGGTCCCTGCTGGAGTGGGAAGCAGAGTTGGGGGCAAGGAGGCATGTGAGGGGTAGAGCTCACAGTCAGCATAAATACATGAATCCTTCCAAACCTGGCTGAGGGCTGAAGTTGATAGATTTGGGTTTTGTCATTGGCTCATGAATATTGAGCGGGTGGGGATGATCTTGTCAGCTCACAATAACCTGTGTTTGCACCCCTGGGGTGGGGGGCCTCTGGCACCCGGCTCCACTCCAGCCCCACTTCCAGAGTGGATTAACCTGCATCTGCTCTGCCTTCCTCCTCTGCAGAGCAGCTCCAGCCCTGCACATCTGCCTGGCTCATGCCCCGGGCTCCCAGCAGAGATCTCTGCAGTCGAGGCCTGGGGCTGCTCTTCTGCCTTGTAGGTGTTGGTAAGAAAAACGATCTGTTAAGAGATCAGGGCAAAGAAAGAGGCAGGCTGCTGGGAATTAGCCTCAGACCTGGCTCCCTACATCCCTTAATCCTCCACTTCCCGCTGCCTATCAAGTAAGTGGCTCCGATGCTGAATTTTTAATGATCGTGGCACTCAGAGGTTCCAGCATCAACCTCACAAAATGAAGTGGTTCTGTGTTCTGACTTCAGCTCTTCTAGGAAGAGATTAAACCTCCTTCAAAAGTAATTTAGGGAACTGAATAAAACAGGCATGTTACTTTAGCTTTTTTTAGAAAACAGGAGGTGCACAGTCCACCACTTTGATGCATTTTTTTCCCCCAAGTGAATTAGTTGAATAACTAATGAATATTCTGTAGCTATTTATGGCACTGGACATTCATCTCTCATGACTAACTGCAGTGGTGCTCTATGTCTCCTGTGAAAAGAATGCTTTCCATCTGCAGTAACCATGGATGTGGTGTTTCACTGGTTCCTGACTTGTTTGGGGGGTCTTAATGTCCCCTAAGGGTGGATGCCAGGAGCAGATGGCACTGCTGTGGGTGCCTTTAAACCTTGTCAGGACTGTTGGGTGTGCAGTACTCAGTGGAATCAGTGCCTTAATTACAGGCAGTGGAGGATTAACAATATTTGCATCGAAGGGTGAAACTTTCAGGAAAGCTCTTGATGCAAAACCTGCCACTGCCTTAAAACACCCAGGAGTTGAAATTCCAAGCTGCCAGCCAGCACTGCTGAAAGAAAGTGCAAATATCTCCCTTGTTCCTCAGGCGGAGCTGCTGGTTCTGTGCCTGATGAAGTTGCATCATGAGAGCTCAGGGGTTTGTGTTCTAAGCTCCTGCCACTCACCTGCCCAGAGGGGCTCCTGTCACACCCCTCAGCACCCCTGGCTCGCCCTGCACGCTCCAAGGACATCCCTGCCATGGGGGCACGAGGCTCAGTCCTCACTTCCCAGCAGCCTCTCCTCCCCAAATGTTTCATTTCTTCTCTTGGTTCAGTGTTAAAGTCTCAGCACTTGGCTTGCCTGGGTGTGGCTGGTGGGGCGGGGCAGGGCTCCTTTCGGAGCACGGTGGCTTCATCTGTCCCTGGTGTCCCCTACCCCGAGCTGGCCCTTGTCCTCTGCTCTCCTTCCAGTTTTCCCTTTGCCTGAAGGGGTTTATAATTCATTTTTGTCTAGGGAGAAGCAGTAACAGGGTCAGTATTTTTGGTCTGATTTCTGCTAAAAAGGCGAGGTCATCAGGATCTTAATCACCTTAATTACTGGGCTGATTATTCTATTATCTCTGGATCCCAATGCTTCCTCTTGTTTTTCCTGTGCTAAGTTCAGGAATTCTTACATCATCCCTCGTGTCCAATCTCTTCTCTTTGCCCCCAGTGGTGAGATTTCCTCCATCCTGATGAACTTTTTGAAGTGAAAGCTTTTGTGTTGCCACCATTTTTATATCTGCTGCAGAGGGGTAGCCTGTGGAACTAAGCCAATCCAAGCCAATATAAGACAAATTAATGGTTTTACATGTTGGTGTGCTGGTCTGAAAGGCAAATGCATAAACCAGGCTTTTCTCTTGTGTTTAGCAGCAAGGGTAAGACACAATAGGGATGATATTTGCCAACTCTGAGAGTTGTCTCAGTCCATCAGAAGCAAATTGGTGACTCTCCCTGGGGCAGGTCTGACAGGGCAGTGAGACATGGCAGGTTATTGCTACCTGGTGGGGGGAGCCTCCCATCCACCCTCAGAAGGGTTGTGAAAGTGGCCTCAGACAGAGGCAAATGCTTCCTGACATCCTCTTCCTCGTGGGTCACCCCCTCAGGCTGCACGTGGAGCTCTGTCAGCAGGAATAGTTCAGCAGCTCCATCCACCTCTGGGGGTGCTTCTGGTACCTCCTCGAGTGAATGAACTTGGTATTTGTGAATCAGGAGCTTTTGATTCTTCTGTGTGAGCGCTCGAGCTCCGGCGGATGTTTTGGTTATGTAACAACCTCGTGATCGTTGGCGTTTTGGGGACGGTTTTGTTTTTTGAGAACAGAAATGTCCGGCTGCAGTGCCCTTACTAAATCCAGTCCTTCATTATGTTCTCTTCCGCTTTACATTGCATCTTCCAGCACTTCAGAAGCTTTTATTTTCAAAGTCCTCACAGCTCTCTCATCAGCCTGAAGTGACTTCCCTGTGCTGCTTCGTGTCCCGCAGGCTGGAGCCAGCCCTGCCCCAAGAGCATAACATGTGTTTGGGGGTTGTACTGGGAGGTGGGAATACAGAAAGACAGTGAATTGGTTCAGTATTCTTCAGGGGGTTCTGCCTTTTTTATTGTAGCTGTTGTCCAGCCATTTCCCTGCTGTGGGCAGATGTGTTGCTGCATTTGACCATTTTCTTGTCATGTCAATGTTGGATTTTACTGGGTGTTTGTCAAAACAACACTGATATTTGGAGGGCTCTGAAAGTGCAGATTCCCCACACGCTGTTGTGAAATTGAAGTTTATGCTGTAAGTTCCTTTTGGTATGTGTTTAGATTTGTAACTTTGGGATTTGTACTAAAACACAGGCTGGAGAGTGGTATGAAGCAACAAGGCCTGGTCCTGATCCAAATGAGTTTCTCAGAGACCATATTAAGCCTGAAATTGTGTTTGCCTTTATCACAGTTGCAGAATGATTTCAATAAATCCTGAACTGAGCGAGTCCCCATGCTGTGTGCAAGGCACACGCTGCTGGGGGAGGATGGGACACAGAACACTGGAGTTCAAGTGCTGAAATGTGCCACGAACAACTGGCTGTGTAGTTTAGCTTTGAATTAATAGATTGAGCATTATGTTTTCCAGGCCTTTGGTGTTTGTTATGCTGAGTTCATACAGGCTGGTGTCTCTTGGAGACACAGAATATATTGAGCGATGAAATACGAGCCGCGTGCTCCCTGGGATGGTGATGGGAGAACATAAGCTGAAAGATTGTAAACTGAACCAGAAGTGGTTTATGGGCTGTCACCAACCTACAAATGAGGCTCATGGCCCAGATCCAAATTTTCCAGGACTGCACTTGCACTGAGTCAGCAGGTATTGTCCCAGACCCTTCTCCTGCTCCATCCCTTTCAGAGTTTCTGGTGGATGCTGTGATCCAGCCATCCCTCTGCTCCAGGATGTATCCCAGCAGGGTCTGAGCAGCCTCGCTTCCTCCTTCAGGAATGCAGCATCAGTCAGTGATGTACTTGGGGTTTGCTGTGGTATTGGTGCAGAATGGAATTGCAGAAATTTAAAAGACTGATAACCTTTCCACCCAACTTTGTAAGTAGCTTTCCAGTCTGAAATCTGGTGCTGGAGCTGCTCTTGTCTGCAGAGCTTGAGCCCTGGGTGAGTTTGTACAATAGGTTATGAACCCTCAGTAATAAGGATTTATAATGAGAATTTTGCTGTATTCTTAATTATGCTCCTGCTGCAGGGTGTCATTACAGTGCACTAATGCCCTCCATATGGCAGATAGCGTGCATTTGGTTCTGCGTAGCTTTATTTAATTACAGACTGTGATCTGAGTAACTTCACTGCTCAGGCCCGTGCAGGAGCGCTGCAGTTCATCTCCCTCATGCTCAGGCCCTGCACTGGTGCTTTATAATCCACCAATTTGGGAAGCAAAAGGCATCGATCCCATGCAGGGTGGGGAGGCCCTGGCACAGGTTGCCCAGGGAAGCTGTGGCTGCCCCATCCCTGGAGGTGTCCAAAATTGGATGGGGCTTGGTCTAGTGGAAGATGTCCCTGCACATGGCAGGTGATTGGAACGAGGTGGCCTTTACAGTCCCTTCCAACCCAGAGCACTTGAGGATTCCAGATTTGTTTTCTTCTCTCGGGATGACCTCGCTGTGTCCTTGGCAGCCCCTGATGCTTGTGCAGAGACTGAGAACAAACTCCTACCTTTGTGTTGAGGGTGACTGTGGGGTTTTCCAGCTGCAGGTGAGGTTTGTGAAGCCCCTTCCAGAAAGCTCCAGGAGCATTGAGATGCCACAGAGGCTGGTTGAGTGTCACCCTGATGGGGTGCTGCTCGATCTAGTGATCTCCTTGAGGCCATTGACTGCTTCTGCTGTGAGTGCTGTGAGGTGGGGAATCACTGTGCAGGACTCCAGTGTCGAAACGTCCCCTGTCCTGCAGCGGGACAGACCTTGGCATGCCACGTGTCCTCCAGGCTGGCTTGGCCTCACTGTCCTTCTGCAAACAAATGCCTCTTCCTCCTTTAATAGAACTCTGCTCAGGACAGTTGGTTTTGAGTAAAGCTCTGTTTTGGACTCACTGGCCAGTTGCTATGTTTCCGTGGCTGCCTGCCTGCATGAAGAGCTCACCCCTTCCCTGGCCCCGGGGACTCTGGGCCTCACCCTCCTCCTTATGTCAGGGCACTTTTATTTTTCAGCAAAACGTAGGCAAATATGAAAATAGATCCAAGAGTTTCAGTCCTGGTAACTGCTCTGCAGCTCCTTCCTGTTGTTTGACTTCAATGATTCCCCATCCTTGCAGCCTTTCCTTCTCCCAGAATACTTCAGCTCTGCAGGACTTCGTCTCCTTTCCTGGTGGGGTTTCAGGGCTCATTGGCCAAAACACTTTCCCAGCATAGAGCTACCTGCCCCTCTTGGTAGTATTAATTTAGGAGGCAAAAGCATTTTGCATTTTTATTTCTATGGGTGTGAAAACAAATAAATAATTAAATCCCCACCCCAAACTCACCCCACAGCACCAAGCACAACCAGGGACGGGCGTTTGGTGCTTCAGTGGAAAAACACAGGTTAAGCCAAAACAAATCAGAACTGAGTGTTCAGGCTACAACTAAGTCTGAGCTGCAGTGCTATATTTAAACATGGTATTTTTGTATTTTAATAATTCACCAGTGGGAAAGAACAACCTAAAAAACTGTAGTGTAGGCTATTTCCAAGGTATCTTCTGTTCAGCCCCATCTGAGTGCTGGAGTGCAGGTGAGGAAAGGCTGCAGAGGACAGGGATGCTCTAAAGCATTGGTTCCCTCTCTAGGTTTGTCCTTCCCCTCATTTTTCTCTTTGCAGCCTCCTAAAGAGTTAAATTAAGCTGGTCAGCCGTAAGCCCGTGTTTCAGGTGGTGTGTGACTGTGTTTGAGGTGTTTGCTTTTCGTGGAGAGCTGAGGGCATGAGGCAGGATTTCCCTCTGCATTAATGGTAATAGTTGTGACTGTGTGTAACCGTGACTGATGCTTGGCAAGGGAGGGCTGTGAAAGGTAATCCTCTGCCACGTGATTATTTAATTTCCATTCAGTTTTATATAGCACAAGGCAGTTCCCTGCTTTTGAGGAAAAGGTCGTGGGTGTTTCAGTGCTGCAGAAGCACCTGCGAGTCCTCATGGTGGTGTTGGGACTGGCAGTGCCAGGGGCTGAGCCTGGGCAGCATTAAGTCTCTCCTGAATTAGGAAAGGACAGCACAAAGTAAACAAGGGAACTTGGCTGGCACTCGGAGTTAATTTGCAACTTGAATCCAGCTAGAGATTCCCAGACAAGGTACAAGAGCAGCTCCAGCTCAGAAATGTACCTTGTCCTGAAGCTGATGGACACCAATCTGCAAAGCTTAACGTCCTTAAACTTCTGGAGCTTAAACTGAATTGACCTCAAGACCCAAACTGTGCAGCAAGTGCTCAGGATTGCAGCAGTGTCCCAGAAATCTTCTGCAGCCTGTTCAATGTCTGTCCATGGGAAGGAATAGAACAGCCAGTACCAGAGCCCTGGTTCTGCACCATCACTTTATTTTCTTCCAGTCCTGCATGGCCACAATGCCCTGATGGTACCTGAGGGCACTGTGAAATCTGAAGGTTTTGCTGGGGAGCATTTACTGCTTCAGGGAGGCAAAACCATCTGCTTTGGTGGTTCTTGCTGAAATGAGCCCTGCAGAGCTCAGGTGTCTCCCAGCAGTTTCAGCAAAGATCACATTTTAGTCCTGGCTGTGTCCGGGGGCAGAGGAGCAAGGACTGTTTTTGCCTTTAAGACAGGGCGGGACCCTTGTGTGCATTCATTCCAAAACCCATCTTTAACTGGAATTTCTTTTTAGGTCGTACTTCCCTTTTCTGCCATACATGTTTGGATTCTGATTATTTTTTCCCAGGCTGTTTTTCTAATCTCCCAGTAAATGGACATTAGCTGTTTCAAGCCCAGTAGAGGTGCTTGTCCTTATGGTTTTCCAGGGGTGGGGATCCACATCCTTACTGGCCCTGTTCCAGCTCACACGAGTGCCTTCTCCCTGGTGAGATTTAATGCTGCAAGTGCACTGCCTGCTGCTCCCCGCAGGCAGGAAGGGCTTTATGGAGATCTGCCTTGGCAGGAGCCTTTTAAGAGGTTTTTCTTTGTTTCACCAAGTCTCTAGCAGAGGTCAGCTCCAGGCTGCCCCTGACCGTGACCCCAGCCCCAGGAGCAGGTTTGGGGCTTGTGCTGCACCCGAGCGGAGCATCACACTGGGATCCAGGCCAGAGGCAGCCAGGGGTGAAGTCCAGAGAAACTTGGACTCCTTCCCCAAATCTGTCCTTAAAGGATGAGAGAAAAAACGTCCTGTAGGGATTGAGGTTTATTCCCCCACTCTGTGGCCAGTCTGGGGCTCCTTCCTCAGCCCTAGTGCTCTGCTCCAGAGGGATGGTTTTGTTGGAGCTTCTTATTTCCAGGCTCTGGCAAGTTGTGGAAGGGAAGGCTCTACAGAGCACCAACTTCTGCAAATCCCTCTGAGCCATCCATCCTGATGAGGACTTTCCCAGGCAAAGAGTCCAGGGTACCTCTTCTGGTTCAGAGGTATCTTAACATCCTTCCCTGAATTTCTTTGGCTGTCATATGGCAGTGAAATCCCAGGCTGCTTTACCTTTTTCTGATTTATGAGTAATGCAACATGTGCTTTTTTTATTTCCAGATTGAGAAGATCATGAGTTCCATTGGTGAAGGCATTGACTTTTCCCAGGAGCAGCAGAGGATCTCAGGTGTGTACTCAGCGTGTGTCCACCTGTCCTGGCAGTGCTCTGCACACAAACAAGGTGCTGATCTCTTTAATCTGCTTTGACTCTGGGAGGGAGAGGAAGGCTCTGGCACAGGAGGAGCAGACCTGGGCTTCCCGTGCGATGCTCAGTGCTGCTGCCGGGAATTTTAATTCAACGCTCTCCAGGAAGATTCATTTAATTTTACAGAATGCAGCTGCAGGATTGTCCTCCTGGCTCCTTCTGTGAGGGCAGTAGCTGTGCTGAGCAGGGCTGGGTCATGCTAGTGGCAGGTCATTGCAGGTCCCACGGAGTCCGTGCCCTTCAGATGTGGTTAATCTGCCAAGTGCCTCAGTGAGGGTTATCCTGGGCATTCCTGAAGGCACCTGTAGGTATCAATACTCACTGAATGAGGCTCTTGGAGGACACGTGCTTCCCTCTGTACTTAAAGCGTGAATTCCTCTCTCTGCCTTTAAATCCTGAGCAAACGCAGAACTCGAGCTTGCTGGAGAGCTGCCACCACAGGGGATTCTGTCCTTTTAAATCCTTCACCTCCAGACTGCTGCCGCAGAACGGCTCCGGGTGGGCAGCGGCTCCTCCTGATGAGATGCTAATGCGGATCCACAGGGGCTCACACGGGCTGTGACAGAGGTTTTTGCTCAGGTGAAGAGGAAGGCACTGTGTGTTCCCAGTGCAATAACCTTGTTCGGGCTCCGTATTCCGGGGTCAGGTGGCTTTGCAGAGGAGTCGAAGCGCTGTGTGAGTTTGGGCTCAGGCTGTGGTCCAGGCTGTGATGGATCAATAGTGCCAGGGAAGGGACTGACATGGAGGGGAGAGGAGGAGCCAGTGCTCCCACAGATCTGCTCTCGGCGATATGGACAGCCTGGAGCTGCTGTGTCCTGGAGCTGGGGGTGTTCCCACAGGCTGTGCCCTGCCACGCTCGGTTTGGGATCCCTTGTGTGCAGATTGCCTGCTGGGCACACTCCTGTTTGTCCCTCCTTCCCTGGAGGGGGCAGAGCTCTACCAGCCCTTGCTGTGGGGCTGACGGGACCCAGGGAGCTCCCACACATTTGGCTTTTGCTCCTCAGGGGTTCGTGGGGTCGTAACAATTTGGGTCATGGCAAATGTGCAGGGAGCTGCAGGGAACTTCCCAAGTGCTCTCATCCTCAAAAATGGGTGAGATTTGAGGATATTTGGGCTCCTGACTACTTTGGGGTCTGGAAGGGTGAAATGCCTTGCTGGCAGTTACTGTGGGGATAAATGTGTTTGGAACCTGTTTGTACAAGCAGTTACTGCCTCGTGTCTGGGGAAAGCAGTGGGTAAGGGCTGGCAAGGGCTTCTCAGAGCTTGGGCAATCAAGGAACACCATCGCTTTGGGGATACCAGACTCCACCTGCCCTTTGCCTTAGAGGAGTTCTTGGCCTTGGAACAGACGTTTGTGTCTCTCTGCACCCAGTCCATGAGCAAACGGGGTGATGTTGGTCAGGATGGAGCTGAGAAACGGGAGTTTGTTTCAGTCACAGGTTGTGATCAGGCTCTTGACAGGGGGCACAGGGACTGGGATTCTTTTGTTCTTGTGTCATCCTCGTAACACATGAACAGCTGAACACCCAGTGTATTTGGGGCTTCTTTATTTTCAGCCTGGGATGTTTTGGGCATCTGTTATCCTCTTTTCCTTTTTAGAGGAAACCCCTCCATTCCCTCCCTCTAAATGCCTCCCCCCATTCATTCTGTCATGACTTGAAGCAGTTTTATAAACAGAAAACCTGTACTTGTGTCACTGTAGGTTTCCCTCTTAAAAGCAGAAATACATTTTTGAGCACTTGAAAGGCTGAACAGAGTAAATAATTTTTAAAATTAAATTCAGGAGCTGAGGGAAAGGAGCTGCTGTGGTTTCATTCCTCCTGCCAATACCCTGACTGCTCCCAGGAATGCTGTGGTAGGCACCAGGCAGTTCCTCACCTCTCTCTTGATAAATGAATTCTGAGCCAGCCACAAATCACTTGGAACTGTCAGAGCAGACCTGTGACATCATTTTTTGAAAACCCCAAGCCATGTCATCCATCATCCAGTAAATATTGAGGAGTCAGTGATTTCCACTGGAGAGTTAGGGAGCTGCTGCCTCCCTCCCGGCTGGCGCGGCGGGTGGGAGCGCTGGGAGGGGTGAGAGGATGAGGAGAAGGGAGGGACGGGCAGCGCGGAGCGCGGGGCTCGCCGGCTCAGACAAAGCCGCCGCAGCCGCTGGCGGAGCGCGGGGACCGGCGGAGGGGAGGATGGAGCCCGGGGGAGCTGGGAGCCCGTGGGACACAGTCCGGGTTTAGTTGGTGCCCCGGTGCACAGGCTGGGTCAGGGGAGGGGGGGCAGAAGCCTTTTGTGGTCTCGGCACTGCTCGTACGCTGGAAGGACCGGCCGGCGCTGCCCAACAGCTCCCTGGGCAGAGCAGCAATCCCGTGGAGCAGACAGCAGGAATCACCCCAAGAATCTGCAGATGACACCGTGAGCTCTGTGTGTGCAGCCATTGCAGCAGAGTGGGGAGGGATGGCTGGAAGGTACCAAACGGCTTCAGCTGACCAGAAGGTTCAAAGGAAGCAAACTGGGGTCTCCTGATCATCCTTTTCTTTGCATCCATGGTGGAAACAGATGTGCCAGGGAGCCTGAAAATCTGCCTGTCTTGCATAGCAAATTCCCTGATGAAAAGGAGAGCTCTGAACTTTTTTTCTCATATTTAAGGTCTTGAGCTTTTCTAGAGGAGAGTAACAAGTCACTGGACTCATCCCAAGGGTGAAGGAAGGGAGAGCTCGTCCATACGGCTTCCGTAGGTGCTGGGAGGAATCTCCTTTATCAGAGGCTGAGGGGAGGTGGCAGGGCATGGCTCGGACTCGAGCTGCTGCAGCAAGAGGAGAGAGTGTGCTTGCATTTGCTTGCTTTTTGTTTTGATGTGGTTTGGAAGCAGGGAACCGAAATGCCTCCTCCTGCAGAGCTGCTCCTTGTCTGAGCAAGGGGCTCGATGCGGCGGCTGCGCGGGGCTGAAGAAAATGAAGGAAGGTCAAATCCAGGTGTGCGCCCAATGCCTGGCAGGGCCGGCGGTGTCGGGTGAGAACGGTCCCGACTGCGCTGTCGTGCGGTGCAGCGGCAGGGCCGGGCTCTCCGGGGCAGCCAGCCCGGCCCGGGCAGTGTGCTGGAATGCCACCCGGCTGGGGCACTGGTAGAATGACAGTGCCAGGGCTCCCGGACTCGTGCTCGGGATCCTCATGACACGGTAACGGCGAGACAAAGCCCCTGCCATGGTTTGCCTGTCTCAGGACTGCTGGGAAGGAAGAGCACAAGCCCTTTCTCTCCGCTGCTGCAGTCTGTGCTTCCTTTGTCTTGCGTGTCTTCCCGACAGCCTGAGCTCCTGCTGCTGTTCCGAGCCTCCGCCGTGTCTGTGCTGGCTCGGCTGCACGAAGCTGTTTTCTCTCAGGCTGCTCTGCGCTCCCTGCTGAGCAGGGGGTGCATCTGGAGGTGCACGGATGAGAGGACTGGAACAGCTCCGTGCGTCCAGGAGCGGCTCCGCTCCCTTCCCTCGCACCTGCAACTGCCTGGGAATGCCTCGGGTGGAAGTTTGCTGTTCTCCTCCCGCCCCCTTCTGCTGAGCCAAGGAGTGGATCCGCATTCCCGTGGGGTTGGGCTTCATGTGTTTGTCTGGCGAGGAACTCAGGAGCCCTGTCAGCAGTGCCTGTGATCTCAGCGCCCCAGCAGTGCTTCTGAACCTCTGCCTGGGCGAGGAGTTTCTTTTCTGAGTGTGAACTGCGGTACAGGTTGCACCCGGAGCCCACGGAGGCACTGGAAGCTTGTTGTCCATGGTCTGTGCACACAAGAGCAATTGTCTGCCGGCTGATTTGTTGTACTCTGAGCATAATTTTTTGAGTTTCTTTATGGTAATGACTATGATGTGGCAATGCCATCTGTCCTCCTCAGAGTGCCGCTGCTACCGCCTGAACGGTTTCTCCCTGTTCAAGCGGCTGCCGATTCCTCTCTCGTCAGGTTCGCGGATGCTGGAGCAGAGCGTCGGGGAGTGGCTGGAGTCCATCGGCCTGCAGCAGTACGAGAGCAAGCTGCTCCTGAACGGCTTCGACGATGTTCGCTTCCTGGTGAGTGTCCAGGAGGGACCCCGGGCTCCGAGGAGCGGGTTGGCCAAAGCTTCCCGCGTTACCAGTGCCCCGTGTCGGTGCCAGGCAGAGCTGGTTCTGCTGCCCGGCACAATGGTCCTGGGGGGTGTAAAAGGTTTGACAGAAGGAATAGATGAGGGTTGTGTTGGGTCTTCACATTTATTTCAGGTGTTACTGCTTTTTCACTGGAATTTTCATAGAAAATTTTACTTAATCTGCCCCCTAAATATGTACTATTTGATTTGCTCCAGAAATGTGAACTGAAATTCACTGGTGTTTTGAAGGAGTCCCTGAACAGTCTGTGCCCTGGGCTGTGAAGGAGGCAGCAGACTTCTTGCTGGAACTGTACTTGCTCTTAGCATGCAGGCAGGGTGTTAATGAACTGTACCTAATTACACTGACACTGTTGGCTCTGAAACCTAATGACGACACAGTAGTGCTCAGTGATGAGGGTTTCTAATAACCAGGGTCTATAAACTTGAAGCCGCATTGTGTAAAAATCTGAGAATTCATGTGGAATGCTGAAGTGCAAAGATGGAAAATTTTGGTCCTGCAGGAGAGTTCTCCTTGCATGGCTTAAAGAAGTGCTTTTGATGTGGACTCTAAGTTTGGTAAATAACAAAAAATGGATGTAAACCTTTGGAAAAGTCATTCTGGTTAATGTTGCATCCTGCCTTGGAACGGTGGGGATCCCTCTGGTACTGGGGATGGTGCAGAGAGGTGACACCAGGAGGATGTGAGGGGCTTTGGGAACACACAGTGGCCATCAGCGGTGGGGAGGGCAGGGGAGGCAGGTGGAGAGAGACAGGAAGCCAGGAAAGGGCATGGATGGAGTGCAAGGAAGCGCACACCTGAGCAGTGTCTGTTGGGCTACTTCGGGGTAGGGTGTAAATAAGCTTTAAAAAATGACCCAACCAACAGGATAAATGTCGTGGGATCTGTCCAGATGTATCTCCAGCAAGCAGCTGGTCCCTTCATCTGGCAGGGTCAGCGTTCCCCCCAGAGCTGTCGTTTGCTGTGGTTTTTCCCCCAGTGTCCCACCAGGCTGGTCCCAACCCCCAGTGCACTCCCAGCTTCACTGTGCTTTGTGTAGGACATTCAGCTCCATGCGAGGGTCCCTGAGTGTGCTGGGGCAGTCTGACATGACTTCTGGGGTGCTCTGGAGGTGGTTCAACAAATTTAAATGAAATAACCCTGTAGATCCTTTTGGGATGCCCTGCTGATGGATCTGTGACCGTTATGGGGTTGGTGGCTGCTCTCACCCAGCAGTGGCAGATAAAATGCTGCTCCCCTGCCTGGCCAGGGGTGATGGACCTCACTGAGCTCAGAACTTCAGTAGCAAAAGTTCCTGTGTGGTGGTGTTGGGTACGTGATAGGATTAGCTTTTGTCATGGCTGGATGTTTTTCTTCCCTGTCCAGTGCTGAGTGGCTGCTCCCAGTGCAGCAATTGGCTACAGCTAGATTCAGGGAATGGGACACTCCTTGCTCATTCCTCTCAAAGGTAAAAGGTCAAATAATTTCACAAAGATTTCCTGCAAACCCCTGCTGATTTCCATTTTACCGCTTATCCCTTTTCCTAGGGAGTTGACTCCAGCACCCGTGCCAAGCCTGGCTTTAAATCCATTCATCCCAGCCCTGGGAACTCCAAGCTAATACGTCAGCCCAGTAGGAAAGTCAAATTATTCAGAATTTTTTCCTCTGTGATGTTCTTTGCCTTCAGTTTCTGGCGTTGGGGAAGTAAAACCGTCAGATACAGCACAAGTGAGGAACAAGTATTTAATTTGGTTCTACTGGTGATTTTGATGTTCTTGGATGAACTATTAAAATTGCAGTGACCACTGAAGCTGGGCAGACCAGGAGCACTGAGTGCCCGAGGCGCTGGACGCTTGTCAGGCTGCTCAGTCCTCTTCACACAACTATTTCTGTCTTACCTGCCCCTTCCAGTGGCTAACAAAGAATATTCCAAACTAAGTGGCATTGCTTTCCTGGAGTTAAACAGTTTCTATAAGAGGATTAGTCCCTCTTAGGGCCTCACTGTGTTCAATATTTCAAGGTCCAAAGAACGCCAGGTAATGGTTTGAAAATCGCCAGATGGACTGTGAGGCTAATTAAATTTTAGTAGCCAAAATTAGGAAGTTGGAGTCCTTTGATAGGGTAACAGTTGTTTTCTGTGCAGGATTTTGCTTTGCATTGCTCCCTGCTCGTAGAGCTGCAGGGTATTCCAGGTGCCAGGATGCTCCTTTTGCTCCAGGGTCCCCAGGTGCCATTTGGGGGCAAACAAGAAGCTTTGTGGGAGCAAAGTGTTTGATGTGCAGAGGTCGTGCAGCTGCAGAGCAGGGCAGTGTCCTGAAAGAGCCCTTTAATGTACTGAGGAAGATACTCAGCCTGTAGTAGATTACAACTCAGAAGAGGAGTAAGAGCAGACACGAGGAGCGTGTCCTGTCACTGCAGTGGGGACAGTGAGAGCCAGTGTGTGCTGGCACCAGGCGCTTGGTGCTGTTCTCCCCTAGAGAAAGAGGTGTTTAAAGTGCCCTGTCTGCCCCAGGAATGGGGCTGGGTTGCGAGAGACACAGACTGAGGGGGCTGGCCTTGCTGGTGCTGCTCAGTGCTCTGGTAGCCTGTACTTCAGCCGGTTCTGGTTTCAGGGATTCCTGAATCCCTGGGTATTTTCAGCTGGCTCCTGTGTTAATTTGCACCCTGTGTCACAAGAACCTTTACCACCAGGTAGGGAAATGATTCATGAACACACCGTGTGTAAAGGGAGTCTGAGAAGTGCTCTGTAAATATATTGGGCTTCTTAATTAGACATTAATGTAGGAAGGCAGAAACAGGCATTGTTTCCAAGAATAACACTTCCGTTATTTTCAGAGCTCCAGGGATTGGGGATTAGGGGATTAGCTCTGGCCACACGCCAGCACTGCCACTGGTGATGACTCTGGGCAGGCTGCACCTCGGGTGGGAGTGAGGGTCCTGCTCCTCTCGGGGTCTGCTGTGCACCAACAGCTGAGGGGGCTCTGGATTCCTGCAGCTCCTACAGGTTTGCAGTGACTGGGAACTGTGAGCATCTCCCAGGCTGGGCTGTGAAGGGGGAAGGTGCGGTGTGTTGGAGCCAGGGTGAGCTGGCAAGGTCCAGTGGAGGCCTCTCTGCTCCTGGGAATTCCAGCTCTGCATCTGGGACAAAGTTGATCTTGGTCTAGCGTTGGCTTCACTCAGGGGTGGGTATTACTTGCACAAGTCAGCAGGATTATTTAGACATTGATGTGACGTGATGCCTTCACCCATGTACGTGTTTCTGGAAGGGACCGAGGTCTACATGGATCTCAGATTGTGTAATCTTTCAGCTTGGTTGAGGGAAGAAAGGGATGATAAAAGATAAATTTAGGTAGCTTAGTTTTCCAAAAGACTTGAGTTCTCTTTCCACATCTGCACATTGGACCACATCTCTGTGTCTGCAGAAATTCTTCTGCTCCCTTCAAGTTGCCTGCAGTAGCTTTGCTGTGTTTATGGACAAGGCAAGGAAGAGGCTTTCCCTGTTATTCTGTTGCTCTCAAGCACAAACCCCACTGTCCAGGGCAGCAGCTTCTTGCCCTCTGGGTTGCCGAGTGACCTTCACGGGCAGCACCACTGCCACGGGGCAATCACACTGGGACACTCAGCTGCTGCTTTTCATATGGAGCTGGAATTGGGCAGCAGCCTGTACAGGCAGCTGGGATTAGGAGGAGCTCAAGTGGAGATGGCACTTCCAAGTCTTCTCTGCTCTGCAGCCCGCTGGGATTCCTTCATTAGAGGGGAAGGTTTATTTGTGCGGTGGGTGAACACAACTGAGCCAAAGCTGCTGCCAGTGGCGGTGCTGTCCTTGACTTAGCAAAAATACAGCTCTGCAAGTAGGATAAAATCCTCAGCAGAGCTGCCTGCCAAATGTGAACAGCTCCAGTGAACCAGGAATATCCCACCACCACCGAGGAGGAACAGCGCCGGAGGAATGTGGCCCCGGAGTGTGAGCCAAGTTCCAGGAGCCCCATTGCCTCATCCCTCACCAGAGGAGGGAAATGAAAGGTAATATCACAAAACTGCACCAGTGAGTGAGACATGTCATCCAGAAAAGTGCACAATAAATGGACTTAATTGTCCTTGGCCAGTAATGAGCCAGGGAGCAGGAGAGCAGAAAAAATATCACAGGAATATGGACCAAGAGGGTTTCTGCTGCTCCTGGAGCTTGGCCCCGTTTTGTCAGCTGTGGTCAACAGTGCATCTGCTGCAGATGCTCCATGTGGGAATTCCATAGGAAATGAGCTTTGGGATGCTCAGTGCATTCCTGGTCCTTGCAGCAAACAGGGAGTGGCCGGGGAAGGCCAGGCTGGACTCTGCCCTTCATGAGAGGGAAGGGACGTGGCCACTGTAATGAGAAGGAATTGCAGTAATTGATGGTAGAATTTCCCCACAGAAATGGGGAGGGGAATGCCATTACCTGCTCCCTCACACAGTGTTTTGTGATCCCACAGATCCTATAAATGTGTCTGAGATGTTTGCAAAAGCTTTTCCCTTCCCTTGGGGCGCGGGATAGTTGCTGCTGCCCCCGACAGTTTCCAGGCTGACATCTGAGAAGGGCAAACCCCGTGTGCTCTGGCAGTTGTACCAGTGTTCTGGAGTTGAACTTTTTATTCAGTCCAAAGGTATTTTGATTCACAAATGGGCAGGTAAAAGAGAATATAAACCATTTTTTATGGCTTTTTTTATTGTTCAAGCCTGGATTCCCATGGAGTGTGTGGAAAGCAGCTAATGCTGATTCAATGAGACAGCGTCAGAAAGGGAAATCTGTTCTCTGCATGTAGTGCCCTGGGCTTCTCTGGTGGGGGGGGTTATTTATTTTTTTATAACTGGGGAGAAGTGGTGGAAAATGATGGTGTTGGAAGAAGGGCGTGTTCGCAAATAATTTAAAGTACTGACATTAATTTGATTCAAAGCAATTCAGTGCCATGTTA